ATTAATACATATATGAAGTAATGTTTTACTATATTTTTTCCTGATTGTCATGTTTAACACGAAATATTATATATATTTTAATTTAATATTTCATACGAAGTGAGAAAACCATGTCTTATGCAATGGAAGCGCTTAATGAATATGTTTTTGATGTCATAATATCGAAATTCTTGTGATCTGTGTGTTTGGCAATCGCTTGAAATACAAATTACTTCTCAAAATCATATGACAAAACGTCTGAAATATTTGTATAATTGCTTACCAATGAAGTGCACAATTAGTTCATACAAAATAACATTTCATTTAATAACGTAAGACTTTAATTGCTATGAATTAATACATTGTATAATATTATATTGGAGTGCATTCCCACCGATTAATCCAATGTAATCCATAGATATTATTTATATTTTAAATATTTCATGAATTTGAGTAAACAGATAGTGAGTAAGATTATTATTGAATCACTTATTAAATTATAATTAATTATATCTGACATATAATGAATACATTGTTTGAATTCATCATTTGAGACAACGATTAACTAAAATTAAGGGGATTTGTATCGGAATGAAAGAATTTCAAGGCTTTTTGCCTATGAATAACTTTATATAGATTTACGTTTAGAACTTATTAGGACTTATTTTTTAAAATAAAGTACTGTTATATATTTTTTATTAACCATTTTGAATAGTTTATTCAATTGTGAAAAACTTATTTGTTCTAAATATTGAATAAAATTTCTTATTTATCAATAATAAAGCTATTTATAAGTATACAAAACCCTTGAACAAAATTATAGTCAATAAATGACAATTAATAAATAATATGTTTTTAAAATCTGTGCAAATATTACGAAAACATTAATAAATACCATTCTTTGTATACAAATATTTATTTTTGAAAGTGTTTTCAATTTCTATTGTCAATATTTTTGTGTATAACATATATTTAGTTTTAATAACACAATTAATTCAAAAAACTATGCTTAAAGTCAAAGACATTTAAAGAGATTACTTCAGAATTAGTCAAATACTTGATGAAAAGACATGCTTTTGTTAAAATATTTGAAATATTTGTACAATTATAACATTTTTCTTGTTTATTTCTCTGGTTATATGACTCAATAAACAGTACAGTATATCTTGATATATAAATTACTCTCTAATTAAAAAAATATTGCAATAAAACAATAATATTATAATCAGTGATAAAAAGTGTTAAAGTGTAAAATCAAGTAATCATTTCATATTATTAAATATTAACCAATTCATTGAATAATACATTATTAGCACAAAACGGATTTAGTATTCTATGTAAAATTTAAGCAAATTTTAAAACATATTATTTGCATATTTTTTTGTCAATTGATTTATAGCCTATTATAGAATATGGATAATAATAAAACTTGATTTATTTGTATAATGTAGTAATTATAAATTTAATGATATTTTTCTGTCACTTAATTGCTGTTAAACGTCATAAACAACTATTTATAACAGCAATTGTATTATTAAAAAGATTATAAATTACGAAACAATTGAATTTAAAAATACATTTTCTCTGATATTTATGATTGAATTAAGCAATTGTTCACTCAATCATATGAGAGGGTTATGACACAAATCATTTAAATTTATTGTATTGTTTTTATAGTCAACACACATATCAACAATTTTTCAAGTTTTTTATCGCAAAATATTAATACTATTAAAACAATACTATCTTTTGTAATCCATGAGTAAAAAAAAATTGACAAATTGTTTCGAGTAGTGATAATATAAGAGGGAATATATGGTAGAAATGTCTTTCAAAAAATGCTGATTACATTGACAAATCAAGCACTGATTACTTGATCCATAACTATTTGGCGTACTTTTGCTTCAAGAAGTATGCGTTTTATCACTTTAAAACATATCAAACAACTTTTATTGACAAAATAGGAGACTTAAACGGATGTATAGCAAGTTCGTTACAATATAAGTTGATTTCCCAATGAATGGCCAATTGTTTTTTCATCGTTAGTCTTGCAATGTATTTGACAGGACTTTTGACACACAGAATAATACAGTGCTTTCACTGTATTTGTTGAGTAGTTTTTTTTAACGATAAGAAGTGTTAAGATCCCGGAATCCGCGGTCTCTATAATGTTAGTTCATTTCTTGGGGTACACTAACTGTCCTTCAAATAAGTTATTTCTGAAAAATATATTCCCATTTAATTCGTATACAATATTATGTAATATTCTTTGGAAAAAACAAACAAATCATAAATTAAACACGTTTTTGTATTTGCAAAAGAGAAATAAAAAAAACTAATAGTAATTACTAGTTGTTGTTTGTTTCGGGAAATTACGGCAATTGGAGGCAAAGAATGGGATTTTTGTTGCACTCAATCACTTAGAGATCACACCTCAAGCGAGTGCTATAAAAGTACACATAATAATGATATTTAAATGTCATTTCAATAGATTTATAGGTTTGAAATGTACCAGAAGTTTGAAAATGGTTAGGAAATGATTGATAAAAGGCATTTTAAGACTTTTTAAGTGCATTTCTTAGCAGTTGGTGTACATAACAGAGTATATAAACCGTGTGTAAACCATTCCTGACACGTGCATATTTGCATTGAAAAGCATTACAAGAGTAAATTATCTTAAACATGTGTAGATCAGGCATTTGTAAACCGATTTTAATAAACTCGGCTGTTTTCAATTAATTATAAGTTGGACTTTATAATTGCGTATTCAGTATTTAAGTTTTCCTAAATATCTAGAATTTAAACCAGAATATTCTAACTTTGTTGAACAATTTATATTTTTGTGAATTTTTCAATGTAATCCTATGGAAAAAGTTAGCATAGTAATAAAATTACAGAGGAAAGTATGGTTATAAAAAATTAAATATTATGATGAATTAACACATTACATATAGTGGTTAATCTGCTGAATTAGTATTATCTAATTACGCTTACTGTTTCAAGAAATAGAGAAGGTCACAAAATCAATAATATTTTAAATGTGATATTTTACAATAAAATTATTCCTGGTAGACCAAGGGATAATCAATTATTATATAAATTATACCAAATTAAACATGAATTATCTGCTTATAAATTCCACGAATTACTTTTAAGAAAAATATTCTATAACATGGATAAAATAAAAATAATGTAAAAACTCTAAAAGTGTCAGAAATGGTTTACACACCCTGTACAGTGCAATTAGGGTTGACAACAGTTTACAGTTGATTTGTTTTAATACAAATAATTAATCTATGAATTACAAAACACTATTGATTTAAGGCCAACAGTAACATGAATTTCAATACTGATTATACATAAGTAGTTTATCTCAAAAAACTATAACAATAAACAGATATAATAAATATATTCTGTGCGAGAATAGTGTCAAAGAGATGGTAGACGTAATGTTATCAATAAATTTGTAAAACTTTTTTTTGTGGTAAACACTACAAGCGTTTGGTCACGAAATGGTTATAACGTAAAGCCATATCACAGCACAAGAATATCCTCTAAATGTATACAAAATTATTCCTATAATTACTTTATTTAATCCACTAATCGTTACGCTTTTAATACATGATAAGTGCCGCTAATAATGCATTTTTAAATATATTATCTGCAAATCAGAGCACTTGCTCTTTAGTGAGACAATGGGATTGTAATGGAAATAAATTGATTATAACGGGTGTACACTATAGAGGGCAACGATGTTCACTGTATGCAGAGGTGATTGTATGCAGAATATGTGGGAACAGAATTTGGGAGCACTTTATATATACAAGTAAGGGATGGGATGCGAGTTCTCTCTCTCTCTCTCTCTCTCTCTCTCTCTCTCTACTCATAGCGATGTCTAACACATATCCCACTCTCTCTCTCTCTCTCTCTCTTCCAGGCTTTTCTCGTACTCTCTAGTTGTGGGTGACGTCAGTGTGGAGTCGGTCTCGCGTATAGTGTACGCAATGATTGCATTTTAGTGAAAACTACAGTAATATTTGGTGTTTTGTGTATTGAATGCCAAATGCGTAGAGTATTAGTGAAAAGGCATCGCTTTTTATGCAGTATTTTCATCACAATTATTGCCAAAAATTCATTCATTAAAAGTATTTTGTATGTAATGTCTGTTTTTGGGAAGTTTTAAGCGCTTATGAATTGTGCCGTAAATGACAATCAGTTAGAGAGGAGTGGGATATGTGTTAGACATCGCTATGAGATGTAAGTATAATAAGTCTAATAAGGGGTTAAAGTCTAAGTGTATCGCAATTGTTGTGCAAAAACAATACAACACTTGTATTTCATCTCTCATTCACTAATCATAACAATTGTATCGCAATATCAATGGGTATTGTATTTAGCAATTGATGTGAAAGTGATGTGTGTTTCAAACGTCAGACACAATCATTGTATTCACAAATCACTGTATGTTTTGATTGGGTTAGACATCAGGGTATATATGAAGGGTATATGCAGTATGTGTTGACACAATCACTAACACTGATCCGAAGCACATCCCACTGAATCCCAGGCAAACATCGATTGCATGTGTTTTGCAGAGTTGAGGCCAATGTGTTGTAAAGATCTGATCGACAGATCTGTGGCACAGACTGAAGATATTGGGTTCAAAAGTTGAGATCCATTTGAAGCCGAGAAATGCAATGCATTTGATTGCTATGATTATGACATGTATTGACAATGTATTGGCCAAGAGTTGGCTGAATTGAGTTGCAATTGGATTGCATTGAGTGAATAAACACCGCATTGAATGTGCTTTGGATGTGATATTCAAAGTGAAGATTACTATTCATACACGAAATGCATGGCATTTGTGTGTATTGTTAGTGCAATTAGTATTAATACTATTGTATGTAAAGTATACAGTATTTTGTGTGTATTTTATTGATATTACATTTGATAACAATTATTGGGATATCATATAAAAAATATTGCGATAAAAATGTCAAATATTTGTTATAAATGTATTTTATATACAATTAGTAGTTAACAGTTTTGGCACTGAATCCCATGTTTTGTTTTGTTGACTAAACGTCTCATACATTCAAGTGATATATAAACGACAGGCGAAACAAAACTTGTATTTATTTATCATTTTCTCTATCGATAAGTGAATTGAGAGACAGAAAAAACAAGTGTTGAAAATACAGTATATTTGACAACAAAACTCATTGATTGTCTTCCTCTGCATTTGCAAACTCAAGGCTCACATCATTTACTGTCGCCTAAGAAGTAGTGGTGCGAAGAGGAAGAAGCGGTTGCCATCCACACGATGTCATTGACGCCATCGATCTACGGATCGCTGACGAGGTACGGCTCCACTGCCATCACATGGCTGTTGTGTCTCTCGTTGGACATGATATTAATGGTGCCATTGTTTCTGAAATTAAGGAAATTATTCAAAGTGTGGAATGAAAGGGCGGAACTGCCCAACAAACAGCTGGTCCGGTCACTGCCGTACGTGTTTCACGACCTCGACGTCTATCCGTCCCGTTCGCAGGTCTATGAGATGATCCATTGCGCCAACGATTGCTCCCGAAGACTGAACGGCGATTACTTAACGTTCGGCGAGTTCTGTGTCTACGCCTCCGAACTGAAGACCAACTACGAGGAGAAGACGGCCACTCCGTTACCGCTGTCTAAGTGTGGTATTCCTGAACACAGGAAAGTGACTCTCAATCAACAAACTAAGGACTCAATCAATAAGACATCCGAACCCAAGTTTGAAGGTATCCATCAGTTGTTGTATTTCATGATATTCTTTGCCATCAGTTGTGATGTGTCTTTCATTCCCTATTCTATTGCCTATTATTCTGTTAGTCTTTTTGGGCGGTTCTTGTAATCCAACGACTTGGAGGACAGACATTGCTATACCTATTCTTAAGAGTTTAGGCATTACTTACTATAATCCGGTAATTAATTTACCATCACTTTTATATTGAATATTATATTCGCCGCTTTATTAACGCAATTGTCATTAAACCCATAGCAAGTGGCCATTTGGCGCCCAGAGCTCATTGAGTTAGAGTGGAGTGCAAAACAGGTGAGTCTTCTCTTCAAACAATTATATTTGATATTAATTTAAATGTATATAAAATATGTATTTTGTGTCCGTAAAGAATGCCGAAGTATTATTCATTGTAATCGATAACCAGACCCGAGCTATCGTCTCGATGATTGAGGCGGCCTTCATGTGTGGTTCTCAACGCAACTTAATTCTAGTATTCACAGAGACGGCGGGTCCCGGAGCCTTCATCCACGGCGAAGCCATCTCACAAAAGTATGTCATTATGTCATGCGATTCACGCATTTATCCCATTTATAAACATACAGTACATGTCTTTTACCAATAAATGAATAGCAATTAAAATGCATTTATTTGTATTTTGATTGATAGCGAGTATCGAGACCTGAAACAAAGTCAGTCATACCTTCAGGACATTGTGGAACGCCATGGGATACCCATCTTTGATCAGATGCCGGTCGCCCTGTCGTGTGTCCACCGTATACTCCGCGAAGGCATCCGCCCTCAAGACCTGTCACGCGAGGACAACGCGATGCCCGTCCGTATGGCTCACATCCAATTGGGCGACAAATTGATTCGTTTGCGCGAAGCGTTTGATTCGCTGGACAGCGACAAAACAGGAGAAATCAGTTTAACTGATCTCCGGCTGGCCTTTCGTATGCTAACCGGTCGGGAGTTGACGAACAATAATCTCCGACAGATAGCCATCGGACGCATGGATTCCTTAGTCATGGACTGCGACTCGGAGTTCAAGACTATTAATTTGGACGAAACAGTCATCAACTTTGAGGAGTTCTGTTGTATTGTCACAGAATTCAAGTCTCAAATCACCACAAATGAAAAGTTTGCTCAACTCTTGGCTAAAAAGCTGGTGTCTATTGTTGAGCCGATTCAGAGATTGCTGGCCTGGCTCTGGCAACCCGTCCGAAACGCGTTCAACTGTCCTCCCGGTGCCCATCAAATACCATATGATCATCAATACCGCGATATCTACTTAGGAGGCACTACTCTCCCCAACTCATGGAGAGAAGACATTGCCATACCTTTACTTAAGTGAGTGTTGTTTATAGTTATTTCGTTCATAAGTTTGAATTAAATTTATTAATCATTTGCTTTCATCGCAGAAAACATGGTTTAACTTATTATTCATCTCAAAGTAACGCCTGGAGTGGCGAACGAATTATTCCCATAGAGGCGGCAGCTATTGAAAGAAGTCGTGTCTTACTCTTCACTATCACAGGCACTACTCGAGGTCTTTCTGCTATGATTTTGGTTAGTATTTAATCATTAAATTTTAATTAATTGATTTAATGAACATTAACTGAATATCAATTTAAACACTTATAAAGGCTGGACATTACGTCGCGATGGGATGTAATGTTGTTCTCTGTATTCAGAACTTAGAAGACGATTGTGTTATCGATGGAGAAAAAGTAAGTCTTTTTTTCTAATAGTATAAATTATGGTAATAATAATTAATGTATATTCTTATAGTTGACGCCAACGGCCGTCAAAGACTATAACAGAGGCCGCGCTTATCTGTCAGACATGACTACACGTATGGGTCTTCCAGTTTTCGATGATATACGAGAAGCGGTCGAGTGTTGTATTAAAAAATGCATTTCCAATATTAATAACATTACATTAAGTCAAAAATGTTGCGATTAGTTGTTCAACAAAAAGCGCACAAAAGCTAACAAAATCATTAATTGTATTATTTTTAAGTAATGTAACATTTTTTATATAATATTTAATAAAATTTTAAGTATTGTTTACGTGTTTAATAAAAGTATAATTTATTGTTAAATCAAATTGTGTTCATTTTTTTCTCAGAAATTTTGTTGTGATAGCAATCGGGAAAATGTTTAGGATTTCCTGTCAGTAAAGCCTTTACTGTTCTGTTTTGTTATACTGTATATAGTTTTGATGAAATTTGTCTAAACTTAACGTTCAATTCATATAAAATCTTTATTTTCTTTTGGTTAGAATTTGGGCTAAATTTTTAAGAATGAGTGTTAAGAATGAAATGAGTACTCAAAACAAGAGTCAATTGTCGCTATCGAGTATGGATTCGGTGCCAGAATTGTCATCCGATGGAAGCGACGGTTCAAACGATTGGGCGAACAGACAGTTCATCGAAACGCTCACAACTGGTATTCAGAAGATTACAAATTTCTTAAATAAATTCGGTAAGTCTTGTGACACGAATGCAATCAATATGATTGCACTATAAAAAACATTTCAACAAACGTTAGCCCAGAAAACCTGACTTACAATTGGATGCAATATTTCCCAAATTGCAGACAAGAGATGCAATTCTGTTCACATAAACAACAATTGTACCTAAATTTGGGCCCGTTTTTCAAGGCATTGCCAAATGCTATGCTATTAACGATTGCTAACAAAGTATGCAATAATGTTGGGATTGTATTAGACTTTCGACCAACGAATTGAGCGCATCCACTATTAAGTCAGATAACATGCGGTAACTTTACTAATAGTTCTATAGTATATCTAAAACAAATATAGTTAATGATAAGTATTAATATAATTACAATTAAGAAATGCAATAATTGTGACAATCATTGCAGACAAGACATGCAAAGAGAAGTTGTCTTCACTGAACCAAAGGCTCACCACAACTGAGAAGACGGTCACGTATTTAGAGACTTATTACTCGAATCCACAAAGTATTGAGAGATTACGAGAGTCTCAGAAACAACACGAGGTTTGATCTTAGGGTACATTTCGTACACAATATGCAAATTATAGTCACGTAACCAATGATTGCTAACTATTTTCCATTTCAACCCAAAGAAAAGAATTCAAAATCAATGTGTAATTTGTTTTATAACTCAAATTTTTTATTCATATTTTCAATTGATCGCCAATTTATGTCTCATTGGATGAGAGGAGCCGACAATTGTTGGCTGAAGATTGTTGAAGAATTCTTGAGTTGAGAGTATAACTGATTCCAGAGGCCGTTATCGCTATTATAGAATTCATAGATTAATGTAATGATAATTAATGTTCAAATAACTACCCAAAAATCGCGTTCCAGATCTCGACACCGATTATCACTCGATACTTCACTTCTTGTAATTTAGACTTCAATTGTTCCACTTTCGTGACCACATCACCGACCCGTGCGATGGCCAGATGGGGCACATCGAAGGCTACGTAATAGTTGCCATCGATTTGTCTCATCAACGAATAAATGCTATTCATTTCACTTCTTTGCCTACAAATTAAAAGTATAAATAATATGTATTACAAAAATGACAAACAAATCATAATTAGAATTGCATTCAAAACAGTGTTTAAGTAATGGTTTTGCACTCAAAATGCATTCAAATGTTTGTTTGAATGCCTTTTAATTGTCACTCCATTTGAGACTCAATTGAATTGTCTGAATATCTAATGAAATTGTGTTGCTCTCTGTCCACTCTGTCCTAACCCACGCCACCACTACTCCCGCCCCGACATCAGGTGCCGCTTCATTCCTCGCGACCCGAAGTAATGCCATTGCGTCCCAATTGGGAGCGCCGTCACAGCCGACAGCTCCGAGTCTGACACCAGTGTTGCAGAACTCAGTGGGAGT